TAATGTTACACTTTTTTATTTTAATTAATCAATATATCTTTTAATTTATTAAAAAAACAAAAAATATATTTTTTTTGAAAAAAAATACAATATAAAATTATGATAAATATTATATTAAAAAATATAATATTAACTATTAAATAAAAATTTCTTTTTTTTTCCTTAACAATTCATGTGCGCGTGGTTCTACGCGACAACCTTATATGGTAGAACCAATTAACTAGCCGTTACGGGATGACAAAAAGACAAGACGAATCTCACCGACGCCGCTCTACAACGGTCAAATAATTTCATTTTTCCAACTCAAAACCCTACACTTCCAACCGTTTTAAGCCATTCCCACAAACCATCTCCTCCTGCCTCACAAGGAAGAAGAAGAGAAACAACAACAACAACAACCCCTTAATTTCCCTTCTCTTCTTCTTTGCTCACTTCTCTCATCTCCCTCAATAAATCCCACTTGCGTTTTTGTTTTCTGCCTCCACTGATTCCTGATCTTGGTGTTTCTTGAGTCGATCCAGAAACAAAAGAGTCACCCATGGCGACTGTTAATGGGTACCAAGGAAATACACCTGTGGCCTCTGCAGAGGCTGGCGCCGGATCTAAAAAACCTGTTCCCGCGGCCAAGAGTGTCGATTCGCAGTCTGTTCTTAAAAGGTTTTCTTTCTTTTGTCTTTATTTTAAATTAATTAATGGGTTTGTTTTAGATTTGGGTTTTGGATTTTAGATTCTTGTATGTTTATTTTTCCCTTTTTTTTTCCTGTGGTTAAGATTGAAAAACACAATGTTTGGATTTTTTGAGGATTGGGTTTTTCTTTGTCTGGATTAATGGATAATCTTTTGTAATGGGTACTTTTGTTTCTGGGTGCAGAAGTTTTGATTGATCTGAAAAATTGAATCTTTAATATTATCCCCAGTCCTTATAGTTTGATTTAATTTCTCCTTTTCCCTTAATTGTTGAAGGTTTGTAGGGTTTCTGATCAGTTTTTTTCTTTGATGTTTCCTCAACTCAACAGGTTGCAGTCTGAATTGATGGCCTTGATGGTAAGAACTGAAATCACTCATCTCTTTGAGCCTCTTTGAGATGCTAAGAATCTATTGAAGTATGAGGTATTTGTTTTAATATTTGATTTTGGTGTTCCTCACAGAGTATTTTTTTGACTTTTGAAATTTAGATGAGTGGAGATTCTGGGATATCTGCATTCCCTGAAGAGGACAATATATTCTGCTGGAAAGGGACCATTACAGGTAGCAAAGACACTGTATTTGAAGGGACAGAGTATAGGCTTTCCCTTTCATTTTCCAACGATTACCCATTTAAGCCTCCAAAGGTCAAGTTTGAGACTGGCTGCTTCCATCCCAATGTTGATGTCTATGGCAACATCTGCTTGGACATTCTTCAGGTAATTTATGCACAGAAGAATGGCTGATTCTTTACTTACATGCTTATGACTTTAGCCGTGTTTTTTTATATATGATTTCATTTTATAAAAGCATAACCTTGATGTATATTCGCAGGATAAATGGTCCTCTGCTTATGATGTGAGAACCATACTACTTTCAATTCAGAGTTTACTCGGAGGTAACTGTTTTTCCTTTCTTTTCTTTTCCAGTTTCCCATACCAACTTCAAATGTTTATTTATTGATTTATTCCCTGTTGTTTATCTGATATCCAGAACCAAACATTAGTTCACCACTAAACACTCAAGCAGCCCAACTTTGGAGCAATCAAGAAGGTAGAATCAGATAAACCCTTTGTCCTCTCCCAATATTGGATATTGGTTTTTATGAGAAATTGTCTGAATATGTTTTCTTCTGTTTTCTTGCAGAATATAGGAAGATGGTTGAGAAGTTGTACAAGCCTCCTAATGCATAATTTGAGATGCAGAGTTTTAAGGAGTTGAGAGACCATTTCTTCCTTCTACAACTTACAAGAGCAAGATATATCAATTTTGTTCAGCGTGCTTCTTCATATTTTCCCCACCTTCAATCGTTTTTTTTTTTTTTGGCTTCATTTCTATTTGTATGTTACCCCATAATATCAAGGATTTTCCTTTTTAATGACAGATTATTACTTCAAAGATCTCTCTCTTGGCGGAATATCTGATGAAAACAGAACTAAAAATCGTTACTTTTTTTACATTAGCGTGAAAATACAAGCCAGCCTTGGCCGTCGGAACAATAAGCTGGAATTCTTCTTCCTTCTTCTCCGCCTCCCCCATTTTTTTTTTTAAAGTACGTATATAGCAACAAAATTTAGAATTTTTCATGAAAATTTGAAAACAAGTCTGTGCTAACTAAGAATAAAAAGATCACACTGATCCATCTGTAAAAAGGTAGCAAAGCCATCGGAATTATCAAGCTAACAACTCTAGATTCAGTTACCAACTCTCCACTACATGGTATTATATAGGAAGTATTGATGTGAGTGGCAGCTGTTACTTTGATGATGTGAGCTGCCTCAGGTTGAATTTTGCCAATTCCTTGTACTTTTCGACAACACCTATCAAGCACACGGTCTGAAAATTGAAACTAATGATATAATCAGCTTAATCTCAGTTTGTAATGTAAAAGAAGCTATGATACCAGCAGAATAGTCTGGCATATTTAACAAGCAGCACAAACAGTTATGTATAACATGATACAAGATACATAACATATTCAGGACCTAAAGAAGCAATCAACAACTACGACAGCTAGTCAGCTACCATAAAGGGTTTATCTACATGTTCAGTGTATGTGGATAAATTAAGATCCAAACACTATAGAAGATGAGATGTATAGAAAAATAGCATACATCGTTTTGAGAGCAAAGGAGGAGACACCCATGAAAACACAATTAACTTTCAAAGTTCTTTTGTTTTTTTGTTTATTATTATTTTTTTCTTTTGACTCTTTGTGGCATTGTTGAGGATTTGTTAAATAGTTTGACATACATTTGACTTCATTTCCTCCAGGGTAAATGTTTGTCTTTTGCAATGCTATCAAATGATTAGCTGGGCAAATGCAAGGATTAAGAAGTTGAACAAATGGGACAGCTTAGCACAGTCATCAAAATTCTAGTTTAGCAGGAAAAATGTAACTTCCTTACCTTGACAATCTCAACTACAATTGTCATATCAGGATTGCTAAGATCAACTTTATGAGGTGCAGGTACAGACTTTGCAACTGAATTTATAATCTTCATCCTGTCAACACCAGTATTTGCACGGGCCTCATACAGTACTGCAAACTGTGCAAACAAGTTAAAACCATTGCAGAGTCAATAAATTTAAGCTGAGAGTCTAAGCAAAGGGTGACACTTGAATTGATTGAGGCCTGGGAGAAACACCGCCTAACATTTTTTCTATCTTGCAAGAGGAATGGTCCCATTTTTTCTTTCTTCCATAAATATGGGAGGAAAGGAGTTTTTCCATTTTGTGGGCCAAGGTTTGGAATGCTACGTGGGGGAATGGGAAGGAAGTGCACAACGGTTTTGTAGATAAAACAGACAAATATTAACTAAAGACATATTCAGTTCCTTTTTGGCATGGTAATCTAATAATTTCAAGCTTTTTAAGATGCCAAACAGGTTTTGGCTGCTCATCCCAGCAACGGCATGCAGAGAAAGAACAAATTTGTGCATTACCTTTTGAGGATTCTGTGTTTCTGCTGGAAAATATTGTTCCACAAGAGATTTCATTGCTCCTGAAATTTCCTCTTCTGAGGCATAGCATGCCACTTCAATAGGTAAAACTCTTAAGATGAACCTAAATAAGGAAACCAGTATAGATTTTAGCTTGCAAATACCAACATGTTATTTTAGGTACGCATGCTTTGTATCCTAAAACCAAAAATGAACCTTGACATATGTTTCTTCGTTGATGCAGCAGATGTCATCATGTGCTGCACAATATCCTTGAGACTGGGGTCACCATCTCTCTTCCGCATTTGAACAAAGACGACACCATTGCAACCTGAATCAAGGTTGAGGAAGCGCCTCTGTTTGTAGAGGATAACAACACATCAATGGCATGCAGGAATAAACATAACAACACATTTTTGGCATGCAGGAATAAGTCTATTTTCAATAACGAAGGTTTAAGTGCCTCAGTGGAAAAGAAGAATTAAGCAATTCAACAGTGAAAGATGACTACATGACATAAAATCTAGAAAGAAAGAGTTGCGAGAAGATCTGTCATTGCTGTATAGATGATCAGGTCAATAGCATTAAGATCTATAAAGCCTGCACATTTTTATTTTCAGTTAGGAGATCCAATGTAGCACAGATAACCTACAGTGTGGGCAAATCCTTTCAGTTTACAAATAAAACATCATTATGTGAGATCATATTTTGATCTAAATAGCATCTAATCACATTTACAGTAGAAACATGTCAGTTCTCTAATGTCTGAAACCTTTTTTTTTTTTTTCTTTTTTTACTTTAATATCTTGATCTGAATAACAGAATCTCATTTTGAAGCAAACCAATTATGTAGAGCAAAAAGGTGGTTTGCCCTGGCTTACATTGATTTTAATTAGTCAATTGCTGAATCTACTAAGAATTCATACTTTAGCTATGTGTTGAAACTTTAAAAGCACCTTGCAACATGGGTAATAATAAAAAGAAAGATGCCATTCTTAAATTGAAAACATCAATAATAATAAAGGATTTAATCATATACAAAATGCAAAACCTTTAAATTGTTTAAATTCAAGCATAAAGCACTAATATGTTAACAAGAAAGATCCGAGTACATGTGAGAAATATCAAAACATAACATCCACAAGAGAAAAAATAATATAATAGGTTTAGGACCACCAACAAGCTTTAGTAGTTCTTGCTTACTTACCTTGCTCTTATCACCAAGTTCTTCAAGTTCAGCTTCAATTAGCTTGTCAACAGACTTCTCCTCTTTTCCATTTATCCCACAGTTTGATGTGTCTGTTTCTAGGCATTGCTTCTTTGATGGTGGCTCCTTAGCTTCATCTGCTTGGTTTCCAATACTTTTACGGTCCTCTTTACTGTCATTGGTCTCTTTTGTTGGATTTTCATGAGTAGCATCATCACCTCTACAAGTATCTGATTTGCTTCCTCCGTCCTGCTCTTCCTCTTCTCTCACTTCATCGTCATCCTCCTCAGCATCGTCATTGTCCTCCTCCTCCTCCTCATCACCATCATCATCACTATAGGAGAAAGTAATCTTTTTATTTAAAGTCTTATCAGGTAACCCTCCAAGCTTCTCACTATAATCCTTCCCATGGACAAGCTCCTCATAGAACTGGAAGTAAAATAAAAAACAAGTACTGGTTAAATGGAGAATGCATGCTTCACATGGAAATAAGAACAAAAAAATGTGTTATTAAACCGAAACTTCAAAAATTGCAACATGACCCCCCATTAGCAGATCTCAAAATGGAAACAAAAATGCAAGAAAAAAAAATGGATTTTTACACAGAGACACAAGGAAACTTCAAAAGGAAGCCAAAATGGAAGCAACAAACAAATACCCAGAATGAGGATTAGCAACCAATAATCAAGTAGTGAACTTTAATAAAGATTTTGAAATTAAAAGAAGAAATTAAAGATAACAACATGTTGATAATCAAAGAGAGAAGAAGAAAAGAAACCATACAGTATCAATGACGTTAATAGCCTCATGAGCAGCTTGGCGTTCCCTGCCACCATCGCATGTGATGAAGAAGCCTTGAACACCTGGTCTTAATGGGTATGCCCCTCTCTTCTTCACAGGTTTCTGTGACAGAAAACAAAGAAGAGAAATCAAATATACAGAAAAAGGCAGAAACATAACCAAATATGGAAAGAGAGAGTTAATTGGTTACATTGTAAGGGAGATATTGCTTCCTCTTCTTGCCCTTGTTGACAGCGGAAGCAGCCTTGGGTTTGTTTTCGGCCGCCATTAGAGAGTACAGAAGCAGAAGTAGAAGAAGAAGACACAAAGTCGCGGTGTTGAGGATGGAAATGGAAGCAAGTGAATGGGCTGAAACTGCTGAAGCCCATAAATCAAAGTCGGGCTGTTAAAGGGCCGAAACAATAGGGTGGAAGAGAATTTTGGGCTAGAAAGTGGGAAGTTGGTCCAATATTAAAAAAAAAAAATTGAAGAAACCTATTCTGCTTTTTTTTTTTTTTTCAATAAAAAGATTCTATCAATATCCTCATATATAATTTTAAAAATATCTAAACTTTAACGCAATATTAATAATGAAAAACATGAAACACTGTCAATAACTTAAATAATTTAATGGTAATAACTTTTTGTTAAAAGTAAGTAATTTTAAATTCTAATTACGTAGCTTTTTCTCATTTTTTATGTAAGTGCCTTTTTCATATGGATTCTTTTTATACGGAAATTTATTTATTGATCATGTTTTTTAAAGTAAAATCTTAGTACTTAATGTGGTGTAATTTTTATTGGTTCTTTTAATTTTAACAATACTCATGATATTCAATTATACTTCTTCTTTTTTTCGATTTAGTAGGCACTTATATCATACACATCCCAAGACTACTTCTTTGTTGTCTAATAAAAACAAACCATTTACGTCAAGACTACTAAGGCAGGTGATATTATATGCAATGTGTCATGGGAACCTTATTAAAATATCATTATCAAAAAATTTAAACTATTTTTATATACTTGGCAGTAAATCTAGCGACAGTGAGAGATTTGTTTTTTTTATATACTTGGCAATAAGTCTAGTGACAATGAGGGATTTGTTTTGTATATAAACATTAGACCAACAATTCAATAACAAAGATATTTTATGTTCAAGGTTCAAAGGTGGGGAAAATGAGTTCTTTAGATGGTGACATATCCCACTACTTTCTAGAATGCCCAAAATGGCTTAGTTTCCTTCAGTTGTCTCTTTCGGTTTTGAGCAACGTAAGATTTTACCAGTCAATGTGAAGAGAGCCGGAAAAATAATGGGGTATTTGAACGGTTTAGGCAACTTGCAATTTGAAGGGCAACAATGCCACCAGCGGGAGCCAATGAAAACAAAGGGCGGTGGCCAACCAGGAAAATGATCATGGACATGACCACAAGATTCTTGGTCCCCCACCGCCCCTTCCAAAGGCAACCCATTTTGTTACATTCCCCTTTCATTTCACACAAAAGTCATTGCTCTTTGCTAGTCAGGTGCAAAATTCATGATATTCAAGGGTAGTTGAGAAAGAAAAGAATAACATTCTCACTTTCTGAAACAAAATGATAGCATGTTCACATTGCCAGCATCAATTTACAATGATCTTTGGAGGGGGAGAAAAAATGAGACCATACACTTGAGGACAACTTTGAAAAGATGTAAAGAACAAACCCTTTTTCTTATGTATATATAAAAGATATTGAAGAGAATTCAAAATTTACAGGGGCTATGTGTATATATATATATATATATATAAATATATGATTAGGACTGCTGTACGCTATCCACCCTTAGGGTTGACTGTGAGGCAGCTAGGAGAGCTGCTCCGATCCCTGGTCCGTCTTCTGTGAGTCTAAGAACAACGTGTTGAGCAATGTCTTCTCCTAATATTTCATTCAATGCTTCATGCAAATACTCTCTAAACATTGCATATTCTGCATACAAACTCCCCTCAATTGCCACGACTGTTCTCCTGATATTAATATCGCTTCTTCTTCCACCAGCTATGCCACCACTACCATCCCGGCCAATCTTTTTCAAGATCCCAACAATACCAGCAGCTGCCAATCTAGCTGCTCTACGTGTTACCACATCGCATATTTTCAGAACAAGCTTGCGTACCTTCAGGGAAACATCTTGAATCTGAAAGGTGAGAAAAACCAGGGAAAATGTAAATCAAATGGATCAGTAAGGCATATTGATAGACTGAACAATCAGGCAATTAGTGTCACACTTGGCTACCTCAAGATCATGCTTCAATATTCTTTCTACTTCTGTCAATTCAGGAGAGTCATCCTCATGCATTGCAGCCACTGATGGTGTGCTTTAATGTGAAAACAGTATGCACCACTTTAGAGATTTAGAACTGATGAATAAAAAACAGCCAAAAGAGAGAACAATGACATAATCTTGACTTTCACATGACCTAAGCTTTGACTACAAGAGTTGGCTACTTGTATGGTTCTGGTAAATATTTTAATCACTTCTTTTTGTCTCCATTTCATAGCATTTAAAACAATATCAAATATTTACTTCAAACAAGCCTAACCGTCTCCAATGTATTCTCAAGACGTGCTTTTTCTTGCTTGTATGGACTAAGACCCCATCATTATCTTATGCATGTAGCACAATTCAATATTATCAGTTGAGAAAAGACAAACAGCAGAAAAATGAGTGTGCTGATTCCTACACGTTATACGCGAACACATATAAACATGGGCATACCTTAAGGTAAAGGGCTCCAATAATTTAGAAGAAATGGGCCCAAAAACATCCGTCTCCTGTGACATCTTTAGGATTACTCTTCTAACAAAGTCACCCAGATACATGCCTGATATCATTTTCTCGAACCCCTGCAGACAGACAAAAACTAGAAAATTTGATCTCATCCTCAGCCGTTATCAACTAAGAAACATTGAATCCATGGAGTCTTACCTGATCATTTGGATTTGGACTCCCAGCATCCAATTCAATATCATAAGAAGTTCTTGGCAAATGAGATGACCAAAAATTTCCCCATTCCATGTTCACAACCTAAGCACAAGAGAGATGATATGGCATGAGAAAGAAACAAGCATAAAATTTAGCTTTCCAAGGGTTAAATCAAATGCCCAATTAGATGAAGGGAAGATACCATGCCTCCGGAAGTTGTAAGATGTCCCTGACACTTTATTATAGCATCTATACGCTCCAAATAACAGGCATTAGTACCTGTTCCGATAATCACTGCAGCAACAGTGTCTGCATCATAATAATGTCCAAGAGCTAATGTTCCAACAGTATCATTCACCTGCTTAGAAAATCCAAGAAACTTATCCAAACATGTGACAAGTGGCTGACAGATATACATGCAGTGAATATAGACAGACATATTTTTAACACTAATAACAGATGGACACATTTTCTAACAGGTTATCAATCATTCTCTTAAGATATACCCATTAATGATTAAGGCCCATTTGCTTGTCAAATTAAACGCACTACGTAAAATAAAGATAAGCAAAGATGAATGTGATGAATCATTATCTAAAACTGTACAGAAATTTGACTAAAACAAAGAAACAAACGATAGATGTACATGAATCTGTGACCATTATTAAGAATACACTCCCCCGAAGGAAACTTCTCTTCTTACTTTTTTACATGGAAGGAAAAATTAATCAAGTGATAAATTACCACAAGCAAGGAAGCTAATCTTGAATACTAAAAGAAGAGAACAACCTAGAAGCATGTGATATTTTCTACAGCACATAAAATTTTTGGAACTTCTAATGGTCTCAATTCTTCTAGAGTTAAGCATGATTTAAACGCAATAAGAAATATAAAGGAAACTTTCAACCAAATAATTACATTTCAATAAACAGGAGTATAGTTTAGAGTAACCTTAAGGACATTCAGATATATTCCCAAGCAGCAAGTCCCTTTTCCATTTCTAATTGATTCCAGACAGAATAAAATGTTGAATCTATGTACTCACCAGTGCAGTGACCCGCATATTTAAACCTCTCCTGGCCAATGCTTGTTGTAAACAACCAGCTACCTCTTGTCCAACCTAGAATCATTCATGCCACATTTATTAGAACACCAGCCTTCCAGCCCTTCCTGAACAACAAAGACTTAAATATGCATATAACTTTGAGATTGATTATTATATAGCAATTATAACCAAGTGCTAGTTAATCAAAAAACTTTAGCTTTTACTCAGCCCAATAACATGGAACAATTCTTTGAGCTGACACTAAAACTGAAAAATTCTTTCATGCATGAGTAGACTAAATATTTGCAAGAATTAATCTGGTTAAAGCAAATAAGAAGTTGAATCGAATGAACACAAACAGAAAAAATGAAAAATAGATTGACTAACCATGTTTTCAATTGCAAACCCTTTTGTCCATTTGATTAGAATCCCTGATGAAACAGATGTTTGTTTCATGGGAAATGAGAATGTAAATCCAAGCTCTCTCATTTGTTTAGACTGTTCAGAACCATTTTCTTTCCTTTCAATGAATTGCAGTAATGATAAAGCTATAAAATCAAAAAGATCCTGCAGGTAATGAAACAATAACTTTCATCAAGTAACAATAGCAAATTTTATAGAGATGTGCTAAGTATTAGCAAAACTAGTGAGAGTAAGTTAGAAGCACGGTCACCTCACTTGTGCCAGTCATCAGATGTTGGGGAATGCGTTGTCGCTGCACATCTTGATCAACAATAGATGAGTTTTCACCTCCTAACTGAACTCGCAAGACCCTAAAATTGGTACCTCCAAGGTCTAGAGCATAATACGTTCCCTTCTCACATCTGACAGCACAATCAATATCATTTTACCATTACAGCATATGCAAGCACAAGCGAAAAACATAAAAAACACAATGTTAAACAAATAATTAATCAGACAACGACTATTATACATATGCTAAGGCATTTTAGGAACAGGAAAAAGATTCCTCTTTAAATTGTAGCAGAATGTATCTTACTACATGTTGTCCCGATCAGAGCCCCTTAAGTATGAGGCCTGTGCTAAAACATTTTACTCCTAAACCAATAGAAGTGAGACATTTCAAGCCCAAAAGACAATAGACACAATCAGACTAACAGAATCAGAATTTTCAATCTAAATAAAAGAAAAAAGATTATATAAGTTCTGTTATTGATTCTTGATAGATAAACTCCATATAAGATTATATTAGATATAGGAATCGACAGATTCAATCCACTTATGAATTTTAAACCCACAACTTTAACACAAGCATATTGTATATGTCAAATAGAAAGGGAATATAGGAGGGAGCTACGAGGATTCTATGAACCTTATGCCTAAAGTTTTGAAACCAAATAATATTCCCTACTCAAGCAACATAATGATTTGAAGCATCACAATGCCAAATGTCAAAACAACGAATAAACATTGAATTCAGCCAAGAAAAAAAAAGAAAAAAGAACTCTTTATTCGAAAAACCATTTCCATAAACCATGTGAGGAATAAACCCAACAAAAAGAATCAACATATTTGCTCAAATTATATAACAAAAAAGAATCACCATAGAAAAAGCATTTAAACAAGAAATCTTAAAAGGGAGAAAAGGCTTTAAACTGAAGAACTTCAGTAAAGGGCCACTAGAAACCAGAAGTGACCAACAGATGGTGTGACTAAGAAGAAACAAAACAAGGACAAAAGCTCGATTACCATCAAAAAATGACAAATGGAGGCCAACTGTCACAGACTATTGAATTAAAGTTGAAAACTTTGGGACGGTAGAAACAAAAAAAAAAAAAAGCACATCGAACAATAACACATTAGTAAACAAGAACCAATTTTTAGAGAGAATAACCCTGTTGTTTTCATTTAAGACTGTTAATATAGAACGAATCACAAATTAGCATGAAAATTTTGACAAAAAAAGGTACCAGACGAAAAAAAGAATAACCAGACACCATTGGACAAAAGGGCATGCAACAAATTCAATCACTCAGCAACGAATCGGATACGATTGAAAGAAAGAAAAACAGCGTACAGACTCGAAAATGCATCAATAGAAACAGAGTACCAAGGAATCGAATTTGAACGCCCCAGCAAGAGAAAAGGCAGCAAAGACAGCCCAAAACACAAAGCCACAATGCAGCAATAAAAACGGAATAACCGGAAAACAACCACATTGATTACCCAGTAGGGAGATTATCGACAAAAGTGAGCAACATTTTGAGCTTGGAGCCTCCCTCCGAAGCTAAACCAGCGTGCATCTCCACAGCCATGGCATCTACAACTTGCCTCAGCCTCCCGACTGTGGTCTCACATGCCTCCTCCAACTCCCTCAACAATCCCACCACTCGCCTCCACTTGTTCCCGCTCCGAACCCTCTTTCCCACCATCACAGCCGCCACCGCACAGGCTGCCACTGCCACGCCGACCGCCACCCCCAACACCACTCTCCCCATCTAGCAATATCAATATTTTAAATACGAATATCCCTATGTAGCTACTTATCTCTCTTTACGTATCTCTCTATCCTTCCTTTCTTATATCCTTTGCAGCGTCAAATAACACCCCTTTGGAGCTGTGACCGTCTTCGATCCGTCAAACGGTGGAAACTGCGGCGCCCAACCATCCCGTTACTCTACACACATAAAACTACGGACAAAATCTAAAAAGGAAACAAAAGGCAACCGTTTCGTGGCGTGCTCTCGGTATCCACGCACACTAATATTTCCCCGGCGGTTATTTAGACTTTCTCCGGCGGGAATCACCGGAACGTCAAAAAATAAATTTTGTTGAAATTCGTTTTGTACAAAACCTGTTCGATAAGACGCTTGAGAGAGAAAGAGCGAGAGAGAGAGAAAGCTTTCAAAAAATCAGAGAAAATCGAAAGCTTTTCGGGGGAGAGGAGGGGAGAACGAGTCTGCACTCTCTGCAATTTTACCACTTTACTAGTTACTAGTGATGGAAAGCGAAAGTGTTGGTACTTATATTATGTTATGTAAAGACAGATTTGAACTTGAAGGTTTTGTAAATTCACGGATTTATTTATGGTATTTTATCAAAATTTTAATTTAATGTTTTTATATTAATGTATAATGAAAGACAATTCACCTCCATTCACGTATATCATATGACTCAAAAATTTTTTATAGTAATGTTTTGGTATTCAGTAATTATATTGAATCTCAATTAATTTCAAATCGACTCTCATCAAAACTCGTTAAGAGAAATTCTCTCAACACATGTTTCTCTATTCATAAAATTCAAACTCAAGAACTTATTTAAGAAATCAAATTTCTTCTATTCAGACTGACGTGACTCAAAATTAAAACTTAAAATTCTCCCAACATATATTTTTTTATTTACAAAATTTAAATTTAAAAACTTATTTTAAAAAATTGAGTTCTTTTGGGGGTAAGACTTATATGACTCAAAGTTAAAACCCTTTATTTTTAACGGGAAAAAAAAATCAATGACTTATTTACGATGTTGCATCCAAATTTTAATTTTTTTTTTTTTTCCCCTTTATGAGTGATTTTGAGGTTAATGGGAATTTTGACTTGTTGCTGAGTGCTGTCTGGGTTAGGCTTTGGGAGTTATGTTTTTGCCCTTAAAGTGGGGGGATATTTGTGGTTTTGGGATTAGGGCCTGCTTTCTGGGAGAGTCGGTTACTAACCAATGTGTTTGGTTGGTTTTGACTGATCTTTGATTTAGACCTCTTCAACATAAGCTATGTACCTATCAATTAATATATATATTGTTGCTTTTTCTTTCCCCATACCTTTCTTGGTCTTCCGGCTAAGATCAAGTATTGCTTTTTGTTGCTTTTTTTCAAAACATCTATAGATTGGATGATGCTATACATATTTTGATCAAACTTACATATACCAACCCAACTTAAAATTACTTGCCTAATTTTGCCAATAACTGATAAGGAACTAGTGCAAAAAAAAAAAAAAAAAAAAGACTGAAGAATTATTTTGACTAACAAAATAAGAGGGAGTCCTCTTGGCTAATTCTTCTAGGTATAAATTGTATTTTACTTGTGAGTATAAGATTTTCCTCAATATTTGATGGTGACTACTAATTTAATTTTGTCCATGCACTATGTTAGTGACTTTTTAGGGATAGTCCATGGAATATTTTGCACATGGAAGGCGCCATGTTTGATTCCCCATGGTAGAACCCTATTCAATCACTAGTTATGGTGGTAATTAGAAATTTCAATGTTACATTTAATCATCTTAATTATGGGTTGACTAATCTGCATTCATATATGGTAGTATATGATAATTTCATCAAGATATATACCATCTTGGGTAATACTACACTAAAAACTTATTTATATAATTTATATTTATAATTTTTATATCTTATCAAATAAGTGTATGCATATCATATGATAAGTTTTAGTGGAGTAGAAAGAGTTGATCATCGATCATTAAATGATATATAATGCTATATAAAAAATTTGTATAATAAAAATTGTCTCTTGATTATTTCCTTAAAATATATTTTACTTTTATTATTGTTTTCCTTTTATGGTTTTTATATTGCTTCCATTCTTTTTACATTAAATCTTTATTGATATACTTTTATTTATTGGTATAATTTTTTTAATGTATTACTTAAGGAGAGATAACTTCCTCATATACATGTACACACACCCATTAAACTATTAAGTTATTAAGATGATAAAATTTTATAGGGTTTGTTTAACTTGTAGCTTATGGTACATATTAAAGATG